TATTATAAAAACTAATTTTGCAAAAAAGTAATCCTTATTTTTAAATATAATTGTGCAAAGTTTTATTTAAATATTTTGGCATTTTAAAAAAAGTAAATTAGAGCTAAAAAAATACAAAAACACAGGCTAATTTGCTTACTTTGGTTTATATATTAAGTGATTGTATACTAGGTAAATAAGATATATAGTTTGAATTTATACTTTGTATAATAGTCTTCTTCAAATAGATTTTAGTTTATTAGTCAAAAAGCTATTTAGTTGTTAAAATATTGTTGGATATAAGTTTTGATTAAGTGTGGGTCTGTAATAATTGCCTGGTCTAGCTTGATGTTACTGAATTTGACAAAATCTTTTTGTTAGTTGGGAGTTTTGTATATCTTTTAGAAATAGCCTCTAAGATTTGGTTGTATGTTTGTCTAATGTTTTTTAAATTATGTATATAGTATAACTTTTTTTACTTAGTATTAGCTACTACTAATAGTTAAACTTTTCTATTAATTATATTTTTGAGATACAAAAATATATAATTATAAAGGAAGGGTGTGGTAACTTAGTGAAGTAGGGAGTTGTTGCACCCCAAATAGCAGATCTAGGGTTTAAATCTCACAGACAATACTTTTGAAAAATAGCTCTGTGATATGGTTAATAGCTATTACCAATTAGTTAGATTTTTATCTATAATTTTGATTATACTATATATTTAGAATGGATGCTTTAGCATCATAAACCCAAGAAATTGGAATAACTGAAAACCTATTTGGCAAGTCCTAAGCTAGAAAATAGTATGACTTTCAATAGTGCTACAGGAAAATTAAATTTAAAACTAGAGACTAAGATTGGAGAACTGAGCAACTAGATCTTTAAGTGGGGGACATACTAGCTGAACTACTAAGTTGCCAAAACTAGAGGAAAAGAATATAATATATACCTGCCTATTTTCAGAAATCATTCTATTTCTGTGAATTATATGTTTTCTATATTTAAAGTTTAAATTTGTAAATTTATTACACAATTTTTAACTTTTTTTTTTATATATAAATAAAAAGTTAAACAAGCAATTTTTTTTTGCACTAATTTGTTTTTTTAAACTCTTTATTAGCACCAAATTACATAGATACTATTACGTGTTTAATGGAATTCTGAACTAAATAGTTAGTGATTTATAAGAAAAAAAATAATAAAAGTAAAGAAAAAAAAAAAAAAAAAACAATCTTTTAACAATATATAATAATGAATTAAACTTATCAAAGATATTACCGTATTTTCGCGAAATAATGGGCATGAGCGTTATTTCGAATAATAACCAGAATTAAGCTTAATTTAGGCTGAAATTCATAATTTCACCTCTGCGCGTTATTTCACAAAAATACGGTAAGCATGAAAAACATGGTTTATTTAGGCTCTTTATAAAATCAAAAAACTTTTCATTTTGTTATGCTGATTTATGTATGTTAAACAAAGAACTTGAATCTCAATAGCGGCCTATCACAATTTTATGAGTTAATACCTAATTACATCATTGCATATGATTTAAACCCCTAGAAAAAAAATTCGCAATATTTTTTTTTTTTACCTGTATTTTTACAATAGTGTGTATAATATGAATCAATTAGTATCATCAAAGAAGGATACAAAAAAGAATACAAAATCTTGCTAAGCCTTTATTCAGGCAGCATTAAACTTTCTTGAAACTCAAAAAAATAGTGCAAGTGTATCTTTAAGTGTTCGCAGGGTTGTTCTAAACTTTGAACTTGCTGAACAAATACTACATAATGCTATAGCTCAATGTGGTGCATCTAAACATCCAGGTCCCTCTATATTACTCATGGCTAATAAAGAAAATGAATTAGTTGAATACTATCTGAACATGCAAAGACTCAGGTTCAGACTTACCAGAGCAGCTGTAAATACAATGATTGTACAAATGCTTAAAGTTAAAAATAAAGAACATTTACTTAAAAATAGCCCCAGTAAAAAATAGTGGAAACAATTTTTACATGATCACTCACAACTTTTTTTTCATGTCTTTTAGGAACTTTCAAAAACAAGTGCTGCTAAGGGTAACCCAGTTGTTATACAGGATCATTTTACAAAACTTAAACAAATAATTGATGAGTATTTATTAATGGCTAACAGAATTTGAAACATGGATGAAAGTGGGTTTAATATCTCAGCTCGGTTAAGAAAAGTATTGGCTCAAAAAGGTATTCAACAAGTCTACAAAACTGTGGCTAGAAGTTCAAAAGAACATGTATATATTTGTTCTACAATTTTAGCATCTAGAATATATATTCCACTATTACTAGTTTATAAAGGTGTTACTGTTGCTGCATTTACTGATACAGGTTAGGCCATATAAATTTATATAATTGGTTTTCATATCCCACCTACATGGACAAAGTGGGAATCGAAAATTTTTTTTTTTTATATAGTCAACCAATAAAAATTCTCTGCTTAACAATCATGTAATAAAGTAATAGAGTAACGTTCATCTAATTGGCTAATTTACATAGATCAGTATTAACGAAGCTATTCTTTATTATTTTACAACCTTTGTTATTAAT